TAACCCCTTAATTTAAAATGAATGGACGAAAAATATGCATATATTAGAGGTTAAGGGATTAATAATAATAAATTTAAACTTGTTTTTAGTTTATAAGAATATAATAATTTTAAATATTAATATCTCTTATTTTATTTTAAAATTTGATATTTAATTTATAAAAATATATATTTATAAGAATAAATCTGAAACGATAAGTGAAAAATTTCGATATGCGGTACGTACTATTTCAGTAACAAAATCGGTACGCATGCTAGTACAATATTGACTACTTTGCAATCAAGTACCATCTCTTAGTCCAAATATCATGACAATACACTCAAGTACCATCTCTTAGTCCAAATATCATGACAATACACTCTTGCGTGAATTAATCCTCCTGGATTGAATACTAAATAACAGCATCCTGGATTGAACTTTGATCGAGAACAAGAAATGTTGTTAAATAACTGAACGGACCAATGGGTATTTCCATTCATCCAAACTAAACAAACAAGCAATTCCCCATACCTGAACCAAGGTCTAACCTTTACCACCAAATCAAGTACCCTCCAGTAGTCCGCAGAATCCTTACTCTGCCTCATCGCCACGCACCTCACAATGTTCGCCACAGCATCCACCAGCACCTTTCCAAAATCCGCATTACCGGGGCCACCTCGACTATCTGCCCTTGGCGGCAACTTCCCCTCCAAATCGCGCCCTCTCCTGAGCCTTTCCAACACCCGAAACCCTTCACTCTCCGCCTCCGCATACTTGCCCCAAGCCTCCAGACAGTACAGCAGCCTCACCCTCTGGCTCTGAACCTCATGGGCACCACAAGCCAACTGCGAAGACACCAATTCGAGGCAGTCCAAACACAGTCTATACGTCTCAAATAGAGGAAACAGAGCTGCTCCATCTGGATTCTGTTTGGATAAGCGTCTGGGTAGGATTGAGAGGGATTTATTGATGAAGTTAAGAAACTGCTTGGCAAGAGATCGGACGGCGGAAGCTTCTGATCGATCCCTTTTCTTTGAAGGTTTCTTCGGATTTAGGAGATTAGCGAAGGGACGGAGGTAGTCGGAGACAAGAGTGTGGATTCTGTTGGGGTCATCGGAAGATTCAAGAATTGAGAGGATAGAGGAGAATTCTGAAGAAGATGCCATTGGCGACGGAAGGGAGGGAGTCGGGAGACTGTGAGGAACGAAGTTTCAAATAGAAGAAGAGAGGGGGGAAATGAAAATTGGAAAAATAAGAAACCCGCCTGGTAGGGACTCATTTTTGAAATAACGGGTCATTTTGGCGCCTGGTAGGGATTCATTTTTGAAATAACGGGTCATTTTGGCGTTAAAAGGGAGCTAGGGGTGCAGCTTATTGTGAATTTTTTTTATTAGTGGATGCTTCACCTTCACATTCATCTTTGCATATTGCAACTCCTCATAATTAAGGGTTCATTCCTCACCATTAAAGGGTCATTCTTGATCACCTACTAAAGGCCATTCAAAGGGGCCATTAAAGTGCCATTCAAGTGTCCATTAAGGTGCCATTCATACTCTCATTTAGTCCTATTCAATGGCAAATGTAACCTCCTATGTCCCTTAGCCTATATATA